AGACTGCAGTCAAAAGCCGCCTGGGTGAGCATCCCAGCCAAACACCAAGTACAAAACGCATCAAGATTGCAGTTCCTGCTGTGAGATAATGCAACATGTTCTCTTCACTCAGTAATTGAAATGACAGTTTGAATTAAACAAATACACATTGACCATTACATCTGCTGTTCCAAGCTTTTGTAACACAAAATGGAGACACAATTCCCAAAGCTTGCTTTGGCACAGCTAAATGCCATGCTAAACCCAAATGAGATTGTATAACATGCGCCACAAAGTGTGCCTTGCCAACACACAATGGCTTCTGTAACTCTGTAAATCATATACACCAGCTCTCCCCTCTGATGTGAATGGCAAGTACGTGCCGAAATTCACTAAGTCAGAATCTGGATCTGTTTGTTGGGGTTTTATTATTGGTATTACTATTTTATCTCTGTTTATTTGTTTTCTGCAGGATCTGTTGCTTTCAATGTAATTATTTTGTAATCAGTACAGAAAACACCTGGACAGGCTAGACAGTGAAAAGCCATGAGCTTGAATGGGGCTGGGATTTAACTTGTATATCCTAACCAAAGTATAGAAATATCCAGCACAGAAGACAAAACTACCTGGGAAGCCTGCCAGGAAGCAGGTGGCAAACGAAGCCAACCGCTGACAAAGCACAGACCGTTGTCTTCTGTTGGACTTCACATCTGCCCACACTTCCTGACCTGCCTGGTGCTTCCTGCCCATTGTTACCTGTCAGCCAAAGCCAAGACACCTGTATCAGGATGGGGTGGCCAGGAATGGATGGACCAGAATAAGACTTCTCTTACATAAGGGCATCTATACGTGGTGAAAGACTCAGTACACAGGAGCTTGATTGTGTGATGTCCTCTTGGTCCTGAGCTGTATGCCTGAGCAGGCAGAATATCCAAGTGGCTTTGCAGGTTAAAAAAGTTGGGAATTACTCAGGATGCTTTATCAGCTCTGCCTTCCCCACTTGCCTCAATGGCTTGAGCAGATGCAGCGTTTGCCAGCTGCTGCTCTTGACATTTTAATTTTCTTCTGAAGCAAAAGAATAATCACACCTAAAACCCCAACAGCCTTCCCCAGTGAGGCAGTTCATATGGCAGGCCAAATTAATCTCCAGGCCAGTGCCGGAATTACAAAGAGGGACAGATCTTACCTAATCATCCCGCAAGCCGGCAGCAGACTCCACAAGAGGAGAAACACCTAATGATGAAGAACATACTGGCACCAGTCTTGTCCTGCTCATGTAAAATGAACACAGCAATGCTGTGCCCACTCTGCTTGTATGTAAAATGCTCTAGAGGTCATCTGCCTCGCCACAACCTGTACTCGCCGTATTAACAGGTTGTGCTAACCATGTTGCAGGGAATATGGGTTTCTTACAGCAAACACAGATATGTTTCAGATCTAGGATATAAGCTACTAAGCTTAAATAAGAATTTAAAGGCTTAAGTCTGCCTCTTATTTTGCAGAAAGTCTTGCTACCATTTGGAGGCTAGGAACAAAGGAATGGATATAGCAGGCCTGGCCAAAAGTCCCTTTAATCTGGGTCTAGCAGCATTGTAAAAACAGGTCGTTTCCTGGCAACTCAGTGGAGACTAATCTCAGACTTTCGGAAAGGGGACCCCTTGCTTCATAATGGAGAGCCAAACCCTGGCTCCCATTCCTCAGAGCATGTGGATTTGCTAAAGGATGCTCCTACTGGTCCCATGAGCACGCATCCCTGGCTAAGTGTTACTCCTTTCCCCACAGGTGCTGTGGATGATATGCAAAGCTTCCTGGGTTCACAGTGTCCGAAGATCCAGTTTTAACTGTGTAATGCACAAGTTAGCCTGTGGGGTCCCTGAGAGACAGTACTACTCCAGGAGTAAGCCCCACTGTGTTCATCTTCAACAGCACGTGGGTATCTCACACTTACATGTGACAAGATGCTCTTGTCCAGAGTCTTGTTTTCCCAGCCAGGTTCCTCACCTGTAAGGGCATAGCCCGTCACTGCAAAATGTACCAGCCTTTCGCTTTAACCCAGGATTTTTCTACTGGTAAACCTCAGTTTTTCATCCATGAAATGTCAGCTCAGACAGGAAAGAGACTCTTTGGGAATGATCCACACTGACCATGCAAATTGGAGTGAAACACACATCAAGAGATTTGCATTTAAGCAAATCCCAAACAAGGTATCATGGAGACATCACTAAATTGCCAAAAACATATTTCCATCAGGCTCAGCTGGATCTTTACCAGTGGAGTATGAGCACAGACTTCACTCTGCTCTGGGAAGTCCATGACAGACAGCCCTTCTACAAAGTCCTGCAGAATCTGAGAGCTGGCACTTGTCAGCAGTGACAATGGAAACAGGTGAGTTTCAGCACCTTTTCACAAATGTAAATAGGAGTCTTCTGTCCTTAGGCTCATATTAAAAAACAAAATCAGAAAGAATGTTCTAAAATGGATGTGTGGCATCTTTGATGTCACAAGAATTTATTAGTATCTATTAGCATGTTCTGCCTTCCCTAGGCTGAATTTCTATTACTTCACAATGCAATATTTTTCCAAAATGCTGTTAGATCAAAGTGATGTGAAATATGATTCAATTTGCCTGAAAATTATATAAACTCAGGCCTAAAAGAGTATTCCTTTCCCCAGTGCTGCCAACAGTAGAGTTATCTGGAGCTTTAATAGCTCAGACTCAGATCCTGACAAATAACTCACTGAAAGCAACAGATTTAGTTATGTGGGGCTGGACTGCTAAGTTAAAAACAGGGTTAGAGGACAGAGCCATTACTTTGCTTACTTCTGAATTTGAGCTGAGGAATAACTGTGAGTATATGAGTGAAGTACCTTCAGTAGCACAGCACCCATGTGTAAAAGTAAGGATGTGTGGAAGTGTTTTTCTAATGTCTTTAGACCATAGCAAATATGTCAGGAAAACAGGACTGTGGAAGTGCAGAGCATCAGACATTTGCTAGAAAAGGTCACAGAGAAGCAAGGTCGGTTAATACAAAGAGGTTGTGTGATTTGGCAATATCAGACTACAGAATAAAAGAATAAAATCTGCTCAAAGCTTTTCTAGTGATGCTATTTTAGAAATATCCCCCTTCTGAAAATTAAGTTTAAGACTGTCTCCTTGGCTTCAGTGCTCCTCCAGAAGTTCTGTGCTAAATCAAGGCCTGAATCTTCAACTGGATGCAGACAGCAAAGGCTGCACGAGTTATCGCAGGTATGAAACCATGATGGAGCTCAATGGACTGTGCTATACAGTTGAGACTTTTCCATCAAATCCCAACAACTATCTCTAGAGGAGCTCACGCCAAGCTGCAAAGTTTCTGATGCAGAAAGCATAGCTGTTTCTGCCAGTTATACCTGCTTTACCACAGCTTTTGAGCTCCAGCTACATGTGCACACCAGGTAACTGTGCTTCCCACTGCTCTAAGACGGCCCCAGAAAGGGACTACAGGAGGGAGATTTCTGCCCAGGGCTGTGGGAGAAAGCCAGATTCAGTATATAGATTCCTCTCAGCTGCAAGAGTTGATATCCATTTCCAGCTATGTCCTGGTCAGTCCACAGATGCTCACTGGTTGGTATGCAGACTCAGCGTTCACCTCTATTTTGATCATAAGCCTTTTGGGATACTGTCTCTTGCAATTTGTTTGCCTTCTGCCTGGTCTTGGCTGAGGTCTCTCTGGTTAGTACTCAAACACCAAAACCAAGCTGCAGTTACCCAAAATTACAATTGCTGTGGCCCAACAGAAAACATTTGGGATAACCCCAAGCCAGCACTGAGATTCTATGTTGTTTAAAGCCTCTACTCTTCCCTTTCTAACCTCTCAGTGTTTATGTACACCTGGGGACACAATGCCACATGAATGAAAGCGATAAATGGAGCCAAATGACACATCCTGAAAAGCAGAAGGGCAAAATGATAAATCACAATTTTAAAGATCAAACACATCAGCGGTGGAATGTCTGTTTGTGTTCCCCTGAGAGAACGCGGCTGTGTGTTTTCCAAGGGATTAGCTTCAAATTAAGCTCTTCTCTGGAAGATCTCAATAAAAGCCCATACGGACACTCCTCCCTGGCTCCACAGGTGTGAGCCCTCCGTTCAGGCACAGCCTGCTAGCCAAGATAAAAGAGCTGTTGTTAGTATTGTACCTTGTGTCTCTCTGCCTTCACTTGTGCCAAAAGACCTGTACACAAGGCAGATCTCGCAAAGCTTTATCCAGGCAGAGGAAGAGGACAGATGCCTCATACCAAAACTCACACAGAACCCTATGGACAGGTTGTGCTGTAATCTAGTCAGGTCAAGAAAATGGATCCTGGCTTGCCATCAGCCTCTTGGGTGACATGGCCAAGACACTGCACCCCTCTTTGTGCCTTCCTTGATAACCTTTAGAAAACAATTAGAGTCCCCAAGCACCTGTCTGCATTTGCTGTGGATACAAATCAGACTGAGCAGATAGTTCCTTTCCCTTTCCCGAGATCTGCACTGCGATTCACATCACTGTTCAGAGGAGCCATTCCAACTGACTGGGATATTTCCACCTTTGCTGCACTGAGATCAAAGCTCACAGAGTGATATGCTGAAAGCCAGCAGCTCCAGAAGGGCAAGGAAGGACTAAACCAACACCACCCCTGCTGAAAGCGATAGGGCTATACAGTTAAATCAAATTTTGCTGACCCAAAGGGGAAATGTAGGATCCCCCAGAGCTCTCTTTGGAAAAAGAAAAGCCAAAACCCATAAGCCAACCATAACTGGCAGAGAGGGAGATGCATGGAAACCACGTTGCACCCAGTGCTGAAATACAAGGCAGGTCAAATGGGCATTCCTTGGTGTTTGGCTCCTAAGGGCTGATTTTGTATTTATAACAGCAGACTTACATGTTTCCTTCCTAACTTGTCATACAGAGATGATGAATTTGCTTCTTCCATAACAGCCTCTTCCAGCTGCCCTATGCTTCCAATAAACTCCTCTAATGCCCATTTCATTCCCTCAGTCCCTACAGATTTCGGCAAACGGGTGTACCAAGGAGTGCGAGTGAAACACACAGTGAAGGACCTTCTTGCTGAGAAACGATCCAGGCAGAGCAGTGGCTCCCGCTTCAGTGTAAGTCACTTTCCACCCCGCCACCACACACCCTTTTTGTTTGTCAAACCAGAAAAGTCATGTCATGAATCCTCCGCTTTCAAGAGTATTTATGTTGAGTTCAGGGCACTGCCAGCGATGACATGGAACAGCAAAACCCATTTGCAACACTAGTGTTTGCCCCAAAAGATCACAGATGGCTCCATGATTTTTTACATTAGAGAACATTTGAGGGATTGAAGTCCTTTGGGTGTTTTTCCCAAGCAGATCAGGATATGACACCTTTCCAAGTCAACTTCCTTTTTCAGTAGCTACACTTGAACAGCTCAGTACCATAAAAATAGATGTTCTTCCCTGAATGCTGTGCTGCTTCCAGCTCCTCTCTGGCATACTAGAGTGCCAGGGGAGACACAGTGATGTTATGGTCTGGAAAGAGGCCAAGCATCAGTTTGTTAGAGATGATTTCTTCTTAAAGTGGTTCTATAGCAACAGGAAACCTAAATTATAGTACACTACATTGTTTTTTTCTCAGTAACTGGCCAGAGAAGCAGTGCTGTGCCGAGAACAGGACACAATATTGTAGGTGCCAGCACATGGCATCTGGTAGCAGAGTAAGCTATTCCCTGCATACTCTCAAGACACACCTTTACCAAGCTGCAACACCTCACTTCCAGGCTGATTGGGAGTAATGGGGCCCTCAGACAGATGAGGAGATGCAGTCAAGCTGCTGAAACTGTGTCCTGGAAGGAAAGGGCAGGAGCAAAGACCCGAATTACTGACAGCAGAACACACAGAGTGTTCATGCTCTTTACCCCCAGCCACTTGCCTCAAGCTTTTTACCTTCATCAAAAAACAAATAGACCACAAAGGGACTTCCAAGTATTTTTTTCACTGTTACTTTCACATATGTTAACTCTGCGACAAAACAGTCAGAAAAGCAGCATGGGCATTATCAAACAAAGCAAGATCTAGCCATAGATACCTTCACAGCCTTCAGCTACTGCAGAAATGCAGAAGACTGCCCTGAGCCATGGACAATCACTGGGAAACACATGCTCCCCCCAGGAGGCATTTAGGAAGACTGCTTTGGGGAGCAGCAGGAAGCAACTGTTGTGTTTGTACTCACTGAGAAAACAGATCGTGGTTGATGACTATCATGCTTTACCTGCTCTCTTTCTGGAGAAAGCAGCTTCAACAGCTGCAATAAAAAGCCCTAGGAACTGTAAACCACTTGCTGCTTGCTTTATTAGACTTTGCTTTGTATTCCAAAGCTTAGCAGTTGCGTGTCTATCTAATGCAAAATCAGCCCTGTTGCTAATTCCCTCTAAGGCACAAAAAATTATTCTGCAGGGCAAACATCCGTATTTGCTTGAATGTATCATGAAAAGAACAGCTGTAAGTGCAGCGCTGTTTAGCTGACATAATATAATCCAGAATCAAACAGCAGATAACTGAACACCCCTTTGTATGTTTATGATGCAATGCAATTTAGCTGCATCTTTTGTTTGAACATGATCTTTGCTCCAAAATCAGTAAGCCGTTGCTGTGCAAGGGGATGTCTACGGAAGAGATCCGTGATGCTAAGGAAAGGTCATTGCTCATTGGAGGTGAGCCACTGGGCTGTTTACTGAGGCAACAGAATAGCAACAATTCAATGATGACTGGGTCCTGCATACATGAAATGACAGGAAACTAGTGTGTATTGTGGTGAAACCCACACAGGTTGGGCTTCTGAGTTCCCATCAGCTGCAGGGCAGAAGATCTGGGCTTAAGGGGAGATCTGACTTTTTTCCCTTCATTCGCCCATTGTGTAGGCATGAACCAGCATTTACCCTCTGTAGGATTACCTTCTTTTCTCAGGTGGGGAAGCTGATAGGTACACAGCTGAAGCGCTATGCCCAGCAGCACTCAGAGGCCAGGGACACATCATTCTGCATACTTGCTGTGAGCAAACCAGTGAGGTGCTCTGCCTAGGCTAAGCTTTGCTTTTACTGTTAATGTTTATTACTTCAGCTGCTGTACTACAAATTGGGCCTGGGGATGAGATATACTGAATCCAAAGTACTGAAGCCAAAGTACAGACAAAGGGCACCATAGATCCCCACTGCAGGACCAGGTCATTATTTTGACCTGCAACCTTACATTTAGTCCCCCAAGGCAGCCTTGTAGAAGACCAATGCTCCCAGGTTACCAAGGCAGTGAAGCAACACAGCTCTCTGGAGTACCCTTTGCCAGTATCTCTGCCCAGTCTTGTGCAAGGCAGGCTGAGACCAAGCTTATCAGCAGCTAAATATGCTGTGGGTTCAAGTGATGCTAAACAGACACACTGATGTGGTGCGGAAGATCCAGATACCCCAATCCCACAGCACTGAAAGGAAGTAATGCAGGGAGGAAATGAACTAATGTGCTTCAATTAAGCTGAGCCATTCATCACTTGGTAAGAAGCCAGGAGGCGAGTGAAATGTAGGTCTCTGCAAGTAGGTGGGTGCCTGCTATAGTGAAGGCCAAAGACGGGCTGCTGCAGAGGCTCTTGCAATTGAATTAAAGCGAGTAAAACCCTTGCAGCTAATATCAGCTCTGTGGCTATTCATCACAGGCATGTGCAAGAGCACTTGCTGCCTTTGACACACCGAGTCAGATAGTTTCAGTAGCTGTTGAAAACACAGGATCAAAGCTGAACTTAGATACACTGGTAACTTGAAATGCTTCATACTAGAGCCTGGCACTGAAGTGGCATGGATGCTGAGAGAGGGGTGTCTGCCAAGACCAGATTTGCATGTAGAGGCTTTAGATTTGCAGGGCAGCATGCACATCCAGCTATGATCCGCACTGAGGTCTGCGGACAAAATTGTCCCAGCTGAGGGCAGGTGTAAGCCCTGACCCTGCAATGTGAACACATTCATCTGTCCACAAGCCAAAGGGTTCCTTCCTGACACCTCATACCACTCCTGCAGCCTGTGCAACTTGTGTGGGCTCAGAGCTCATTTTCATGATGGAGCAGGGAGCAGCTGCAAGCCTTCCTCAGCAGTAAAAGGAAGTCCTGGGGCTGGCAAATTTAATTCAAATCTAAACCTCTAAATTTGGTTGCTTGCTACGGCAGGAACCTCCTGTTTGCACTATGCAAACTGAAAATAGCATGCCACCATCACTGCCCAGTGCAACAGCACAGCTGAAGTAAATGCAGCCATGGGCATGGTATTTCTGCTCTGTGGGCTTGGAAGTCCAGAGACAGAACTCAGTGAACCTCTGGGTGTGAGCTCTCCTCCAGAGGAGCAGATGCCTTTGCCCGAGTGCTTGTAAGGAATTAACCACCAGGAGCACCAGAGTCACTCAGGGCTAATTCTCCCTTAGGGACCAAGAAGAGACTATTTTTATCAATACTTCTGTAGCACCAAAATAGGAGCTAGAAACAGCTGCCTCCAACCACAGCCTGCTTGTTGTGCTAGGAGGAGCCAGCTAAAGCAGCTCTGTGGCAGGTAGATGGAGCACAGGAGAGCTGGGCTAGAACATAAGCAGTGGAGAATCTGCCTGTTTTGATCAGCCAAGGACTTAGAGACCAGCTTATTGAGACCTGTTTTGAGCCAACACCAAAATGGAAGGCTCAGCATTATGCCTGCATTAAGGGACCCTGCAGTCCATGAGAAAGCAGCCAGTTATCATGATATTTCTACTGTTATCAGCTTTACGCAAGACCTTCAAATCTCTTCTTAGCCTACATTGGCTAATACCTCAGAGGCCAGAAGCTTGAAATCTTAGAGTTAAGCTCTTCATGCTGACAGCACCAAGACTCAAATAGTGCAACTGAATTATGCCAACACCTTCCCAAACAGCATGCTTAAAGAGCTGCCTTGCTTTGAAAAGACCTTTTTTAACGTATCTTTATCTTTTGCAGGGCAGCATCAGCACACCGCAGTCACCATTTGTCCAAATGCCAGGTGAGGTCTTCCTCCACTGATAAATGCCTTCTATGTCAGTTGGAGAGTTGATGCTGCTCCTATCTCTTCTCCTCCAAAGGACATGAAGTGAGCAAAGGAGCACTAGAGCTGGGCTACCTCTCAGAGAGATCCCAGGAGGAAAGTAATTAAAAAAGTCAAAACAGGAACAGCAATAGTAAAAGAAAGGCCTCTGTAATCTTGTACGATGTTCCCAGAGGGGAAAAAGGTAATTAAAGCAGTTCCTATCTCTTTTGATAGAGGTGCCACACAGAAGCCCTTCTTTTCCCCCTGTGTCCTCCAGTTTTCCCTGAAGCTGAAGAGAAAAAGTATGAAACCAGGAGCTCACCTGTTTAATCCGTTGAACTCTTGGGCAGGGAAAGGGGTGAGAGGCTGTAACACCATTCTCCTCCTCAAGAGCTGTAGCAGAGCAAGGAAGAAGCAAACTCTGGCCTCATACTTGAAACTTTCCCAAAACACACTTGGTTTGCTGCAGATGGGGGTCATCAACTGGGTCAGGGCAGTCTGAGGTGCTAAAAGCACTTGGGCTGACACACCTGTTTGAAGATAGGATTGATAGCTCTGGGTGATGCTAGAATCAAAAGGGCTTTATTGTGTATCTGCAGAGGTGCCTGTGGCTCTCTTGGTGCTGCTGTTATGGTTTCTCTTGAGCCAATCTTCTTTTTGCCATCGCAGGCTCACCTACCACGGCTGGTTACTATGGCGTCAGGAGATCCTTCACAACTGAGATGGATTTCCACAACACAAAGCAGTTTGTCAGTGATGTCTACTCATCCCCCCTAGGGTCCAAGCCCTTCTCGAGCGATTCCTCAGCCACTCAGGGATTTTCAGCACTTCTGGACCCGTATCTCACTGACCAGTATGGGGATTACCGTGCTAGTCCCCTCACAGCTGGTACCAGCTCCTTCTTCAGCCCTTCTGTGCC